AAGGAGAGAGACCTGTGTTGCAATTGACATGCCTAGCGGCCACATGCTCCCTACCCCGAAATGCAAATCATATATATATATATATATATATATTTTCACAGCACTGCCATCCTGCAGCAGTAGTTCTACTATAGGGCAGCGGGGTAAGCGGTTAATACCACTTTGAGGTAGGCATTGCCTAAACATCTACATATTCTCTTCAATAGTACATTTTTAATGGGCAGAAGTTAGTGGTATTAAACCCAAAATCAAACAATTCTTATATTGCAGCTTGTAAGGTCTTAGATGTGGTGGTTGTATTCATTTTCTTTTTTAGGCTTTCTGTTTTTTTTTTTCTATTATCTGGTGATCCAACCAGTAAGTCTGGTTTTCAAGCAGGATACATCAGTTACATGGATGAGACGAAGCATTTAACACTAGCAGATGTGCTTACAATGATCAGCTTTTATTATGTAAAATCTTTATCCCAAAAGGGAAAAAAAGTGCTGTAAATGCTTATAAAGTATTAGATGTACTAGTAGATTTAGATACACTAATTGAAGCCAAACTCCAGCTAACTCTTCACCCCACCCCCCCCCCCCCCCCCCAAGACTGATAATAAGGGCATACGTGTCCCCTTTGCTCCTTCATCCAGAGTATAGGCACTTTAATATAGGAGGTTTATTACTGGCCAGATCACCAGGTGAAAACCTAAGAAAAGAAAACGGATTCAGCTACCACTAATCTAATGATTTTAGACTGCAATATATTACATTTTTGGTTTTGGGTTTAATACCGCTTTAAAAAATAGCCTGCAAAATACCTTCTACAATATGTATGTTAAAATGTTTACTGTTTAAAAAATAGGTTAAAGGTTAAAAGTTGTTGCTGCTTCAGTTGCAACTTATCTGCTGCGTTGTGGTTTTTTTATGTCTCGTTTTTATTCAAAAGATCTATTACTGTCTATTTTACATTGTACTAATGAATCTTTGAGGTTTTAACAATTGTATTCCTTGACTGTATTTTCACTGTTTTGGAAGCGGTGGTTTGCTTCTTCTCAGTTTGGTCGATTGTTGGCCTGTCTGGTTTCCATACATACTTGATCAGTTCTAATCAAACGACTAATGAAGATGTAAGTTAATCTTTTAAAAATATGACTTAGCAATGAGTGAGGCTTTCTTGAGATCTTTTATCTGCATATACAGTGCATCCAGAAAGTATTCACAGTGCTTAACCTTTTGCCACATTTTGTATGTTACAGCCTTATTCCACAATGGAATAAATTCATTTTTTCCCCTCAGCATTCTACAAACAATACCCCATAATGACAACATGAAAGAAGTTTGTTTTGAAATCTTTGCAATTTATTAAAAATGAAAAAAAACATGTACATAAGTATTCACAGCCTTTGTCATGACACTCAAAGTTGAGCCCTGGTGCATCCTGTTCCCACTGATCATGCTTGAGATGTTTCCACAACTTGATTGGAGTCCACCTGTGGGAAATTCAGTTAATTGGACATGATTAGGAAAGGCATAAACCTGTCTATACAAGGTCCCACAGTTAACAGTGAATGTCAGACTCCAAACCAAGCCATGAAGTCCAAGGAATTGTCTGTAGACCTCCGAGACAGGATTGTATCAAGGCAGATCTGGGGAAGGGTACAAAAAAATTTTTGCAGCATCGAAGGTCCCAATGAGCACCGTGGCCTCCATCATCCGTAAAAGTTTGGAACCACCAGGAATCTTCCTATAGTGGGCCGCCCGGCCAAAATGAGTGATCGAGGAAGAAGGGCCTTAGCCAGGGAGGTAACCAAGCACCCGATTGTCACTCTGAAAGAGCTCCAGCATTTCTCTGTGGAGAGAGGAGAACCTTCCAGAAGAACAACCATCTCTGCAGCACTCCACCAATCAGGCCTGTATGGTAGAATGGCCAGATGGAAGCCACTCCTCAGTAAAAGGCAAATGGCAGCCCGCGTGGAGTTTGCCAAAAGGCACCTGAGGGTCTCTCAGACCATGAGAAACAAAACTCTCTGGCTTGAATGCCAAGCGTCTTGTCTGGAGCAAACCAGGCACCGCTCATCACCTGGCCAATACCATCCCTACAGTGAAGCATGGTGGTGGCAGCATCATGCTGTGGGGTTGTTTTTAAGCGGCAGGAACTGGGAGTCTAGTCAGGATCAAAGGAAAGATTAATGCAGCAATGTACAGAGACATCCTTGATGAAAACATGTGGCAGAGTGCTCTGAACCTTGGACTGGGGCAACGGTTCATCTTTCAACAGTGCATCAACCCTAAGCACACAGCCCACATATTAAAGGGGTGCCTGCGGCCTACTCTGTGAATGTCCTGGAATGGCCCAGACTTGAACATCTCTGGAGAGATCTGTGCACCGACGCTCCCCATCTAACCTGATAGAGCTTGAGAGGTACTGCAAAGAAGAATAGGAGAAACTGCCCAAAAATAGGTGTGCCAAGCTTGTAGCATCATACTCAAAATGACTTGAGGCTGTAATTGGTGCTAAAGGTGCTTCAACAAAGTATTGAGCAAAGGCTGTGTGAATACTTATGTACATGTGATTTTTTTTTTTCTTTTCTCTGTTTTTTATTTTGCGTAAATTGCAACGATTTCATAAACTAAATGCTTTCACATTGTCATTATGGGGTATTGTTTGTAGAACGTTGAGAGAAAAAAATTTAATCCATTTTAGAATAAGGCTGTAACTTAATAAAATGTTGCAAAAGTTGAGCGCTGTGAATACTTTCTGAATGCACTGTACAACAAATTTCTTCTGTACTATACAAAGTGTGAGAAGGATGCTAGTTTTCTGGTTGGTTTTATTTCTTAAATGCCTATCTTATTTAAAGGGGGTGGAGAAGTAGCCTAACCTTTTTACATAACTTTCTGTAGGTTAGTAGGGTTCCAGTTGCAGCCGGTTTTTAAATGTCAAACATTAGCCCCCCCCCCCCCATTTGTTTGTATTTCATTTAAATCCAAGAAATTCACCTATGCTAAAAAATGTATTATGAAGTGTAGAGTTTGTGGTTTAAAGGCAAATGGCATGTGTATGGGAAAGAAAAAACAAATTGCACGCGATATACAAACTGCGTACACATAGACTCTAGCTAGGACCGACCAGCTATGAATATTTTGGCCACTAATCCAGTGTGGCAGTCATGCTGAGGTAATATTAGTTTTCACAATCCTGAGACGTCTTGTAGGATGTGTCATGACAGGAATCATGCTGACAGGGACACCCAAAGACCCATCCAGGAAGAAAACCGAGGAGAGAAGTACCATATGACTACTGCGGCTTTAGCTTTTTTTTTTTTTTTTTTTTTTTTTTTTTCCTAAAGTGATCAGTTAGAGCAGAGCAGCTTTTATCCCAGAGAGCTTTCAGGGATATACATACTGCATGTAAGGAGAGCCAAGGAGGTGGAATAGGAATATGTTATAGAAGATATACTGTATATTTAGCAAACAATTGCAGTTTGAACACTGATGTAGAAGTGTGTGTTTTTGTGTGGTTTTTTTTTTTTTTTTTTTAATATGCTAAGGGCTAGTTCACATTAGATGTAGTCCAGTCCAGTGTGGGTTTTTTTTCTGCATCAAAAATGCATGCACAGTGTTTTTCCACGTATTCCAATGGCCCTAGTTCACACTAGTGCATTCATTTCCAGTCATTTTCCGGTGCAGAAAAAAAAAAAAAGTAGAACGTGCTGCATTTTTTTTCTGCACAGAACTGTACTGGAACATAGCAAACTGCATCAAAACTGCACTGGAGTGTGGTGTGAACTGTGAACAAAAATGCATCCAGAGTGCGTTTTTGTGGTGTGAACCAGAATGCACTGGAACTGCAAGCACTGATGTGAACTATGACATTGACAACCATTTAACCTACTTTTCGTGCGTTTTTGAATGCAGAAAAAAAGCACACTGAAATGCATGTGGCGTGAACTGGCCCTTAAAGTAGAACTATAGGCAAAGCATTTTTTTTTTCCATTTTGGTTATAGTAAGGGAAGGTTATAACCCCTGGCAGATTTTTTTTTTTTTTTTTTTTTTTTTTGCTAATGTGTCCCATTGCATAGTTTCCCTTCTCTTTCTGTAACATAGCCAAACAGGAAGTGAGAGGAAATCCTTGAAAATTAAGGGAATTTATTAGGGACCCCCAGGTCCCCAGAACTAGTGTCCACACTGGAAGGTTTCCACTCTATTACTTTTATGGGGAAAACCCCAAATTTGGGATTTTCTTTTACTTTCACTTTCAGTGATGATGGTAAACAGTACAAATAGAGTGGGGTGAATCTCCTTAACAGGGGCCACAAACCGCAATAAAAACAAGCTTTCTAACCCTTCTTCACTGTCCAAAAAAAAAAAAAAAAGTTTGCTTTTAGCTATACTTTAAGTTGGGTTTTGTTTTTTTTTTTTTGTTTTTGTTTTTTTTTTTAGTTTTAGATTCTTGTGTGGAATCCTCTATTTTCATGCGGGGGGGGGGGGGGGGGGGGTATAGAAATGGGTACAAAAATAGAGCTGTTGCCCTTGATGACGAATCAGATTCAGTTTTCTTTTTCTTGGAGCGTAAAAGCTGAAGTCTGAATAATCACTGTTTAACAACTCTATTGTTACTTTTTACCATAATCGTTCCTATAGTCATTCTCTTCCATTCATTACACATAACATTCTTGCTATGAACATTTAACAGACTCTGCTAGTCTGCCTTCTGTACAGGACAATCCAAGCATGCAGTTAGACGTTTGGCAAACGTGTTCCATGCCATTGCCTTGAAAAGTTCAGAAGTCATTGGAGCAGCATGACAGCCAGGCAGCTAGCATTTTAAGGAGAGATCAGCCAGGGAAACACAGGATTTCTTTAATAATTTATTGCTGTCAGACGTTAGTAGAAATCTATAGAGTTCAATCATGCTGTGTAAAACCTAAGGAAGTAGCATACTTAATGTGCACATCAATTCTCCTGTTAATCCTTGGAAGTCGTCACGTTTGTGCTTTTGTTGCTGTTTACAGATTAAAGGTTCCTGGTCAAGTAAAAGGGGGAAGGAAAACTATAATCCATATAGCTATGGCAATGTTTTCACAAATTGCTGTGCTGCTCTTTGTGGACCAATGAATCCAAGGTAAGCATTCAGAACGGCTTTCTGAATTTAAAGAGATGCCAGAAAATGATTCACTTGTTGCAATACTAAAAAAAGTTAGGGCTGATCCCAGGGGCGGACTGACAACTCATGGGGCCCCCGGGCAATAAGGGATCATGGGGGCCCCGTATCCTTGCACACACTCAAACCACACCCAAAAAAACCTATGAAAGGTACCAGGGGCATCTCATGGGGCCCCCTACTGACCTCGGGCAGTGACCGAGAGCCCGAATGGTCAGTAATCCTAGTGCCCAGCTATGTGCTGAAAATAATGATAAAAATCAGCTATGAGAATATAGACATGGTGTGTAGAGAGTAATCTAAGTGTCTGGTGTGTTGGAGCTGGAGGGGAAGAATAGGCTGAAAAGAGCATTGAAGGTAGATGACTGTTCTCCTCTCAAAAGTGATAAATAACCACGGACCAGTTGGAGGATTTTGGTATATGTACACACAAGTATGAGGTTCTTTCATATTTGATCATATCTGTTTCACCTGATTTGATTCATTGGAGATTATTTAGTTGGCTTACATTCATCTAGTCAGAAATGCAAATTACATCAGACATGTCAAGACTTATTTTGGTGTGGCATATATACCTGGTTGCACTGATGTGTACTTAGCAGTTCTTACGGAGTCTAAATTTTTTATTTTTTTTTTTTTTTTTTTTTGAACACGGAAGAGGCCAGAGCTGTGCTGGACGTCTCTGAGAAGTTAAACCGATCAGTTTGTTCCTAAATACAAGCAATTTTTTTCTCTCTGAAAACATTCTGCATTTGACTTACCTCTTAGACAAGGCTCATGGGCATGAAAGTTTACTGACATAAAAGGAAGCATGTATTCTTCCACATAACATATATGGTCTTTTGGCTCCTATTTTATACAGTAAATCCTAATACTGTTTTGTTTTTTGTTTTTTTTTTTTTTTTTTTTCCGGACAAGCCTAATTGATCGCAGAGGAATTATACAAGCTGATATGGCACAGTCAGTCGCACCATCAAATGGATTGACTATGTATGGTTCTACTCAGTCACAGAGCAGCATGGTAAGACTTCCTCCTATATGATCTATGTACTTATGTGACAGAATGATACTGCAACGAACGTGGACTTTCTGTGCCATGTTCTGTGACATTTGTGCTTTTTTTTTTTTTCCCCCCCTTGTAAAACAGGAAAATTATGGTTTTTTTTTTTTTTTTTTTTTTTTTTTTCTAGTACTGAGTACATTATAAACTTCAAAGATGTTCTCAAGTAGTGCTGCGCCCACCTAAAGCTATCCCACCAAGAAGCTGACAAAGACGACAACCGATCAGAGACTGCAGAGGCATTTCCTGCCCCGCAGCTGCGCGTACACATGGGGTGTTTATATATGTGGTTGTGGGGCAGGGATTGCCTATACTGCTTTTGATTGGCTGTTAGCTTTGACAGCTTTCCTGCAGGATAGCTAAGGCAGGTTTGGTCTTGTGTTTGAACCCCCCTGAGCTCATCACTGTTCTCAAGTATAGCACAAAGCAAGGGGGCTGGATCACTTTCTCCTAATGTCTTCCTTAGCACCACAAAATAAGCATATATAGCCATTGCTATTAAGAATTGGAGTCAGGCGGCTCATAAATGTGTGTTTTCTATACATCTCATTTTTAGTTTAAAGTCAGGCACCAAGAACACTCAAGACTAAATTTATGCTACCATTTCAAATATATAATGCGTATTAATATATAACAAAGCAGAGTAATATGTATGGACTTGTAGAATTACGTTCATATTTACTTTACTTACTGCATTGTCCTGTGCATAGATGATACTGGATCATTTTCAAATTAAAGTGACACTAAACTCAGTTTAAAAAAAATTGTAACTTCTATTCAAGTTTGTAATCCTGACTCAAAGTACCTTCTACTGCTCTCAACCTTTTCTGAGTCTCCCAATTCCCGCCTCTTTTTTTTTTTTTTTGCTGCTATGATGCAACCTTAGAAGGTTTCTACGTTCTGTGGTCCCACTGCATGTAGAAATGTAGCCTTCACTTATTTGCTATGAAATTTGTAGTGTGCCTAAAGCAGTGCACATGACCATAACCCTACATGCAACTGCTTGCTCCAAAAAGAAGTGGGAGGGAAAAGGAGAGGTTCAGGAGCACAGAGGCTGAGGCAGAAAGACACAGAATGGTTTTGAACAATAAATTAAGGGACCATTTCGTAGTGGATGTGTATGGATTATTTGTGGATGATAAGTATATAATTTAGTGTTATTTTAATGTAAAAGTGGTCTCCACAAAGCTTTGCTGTTGTAAGCAATATGAAATCCTTGTCTTGATTGTGGAAGCCATTCTTTAGAGCACCTTTATTTTATATTGGTAATGTTATACAAACATGAGTTGCACATAATCCTTTTATATGAAGCTTCTTTTGGATATGTTGAATTTTTAATCTGGTTCTGTAACGTTATATAGTTTATAGTTTATCATAGCCACTCACCTAATATTTAGTAGATCCCCTATTACCGCCAAGCAGCCCTGACCCATCAAGGCATGTACTCCACTAGACTTTCTATGCTGTGGTATCTGGCACCAAGCTGTCAGATCCCTCAGGACCTGTAGGTTCCAAAGTGGAGCTTCCATGGATCGGATTGGTTTTTCTAGCACATGGGTGTCAAACACAAGTCCCGTGGGCTGAATCTGGCCCTCCAGGTCATTTCATGTGGCTCTTGCACCTCTCCTGCAGGTACCCCCTCGTCTCTGCCACTACCTTGTCTCAGCAGTCGGCAGCAGAGAGGAGAATAGAACTTCTCTGCCAAATCCTGCACCTCTGAGTACAGCCGCAGCACCCCCCCCCCCCCCCCCCCCCCCCCATCTCTGCCTCCCTTAGTCTCAGCATTCAGCAGACTCTGGTAACTGACTCCACTCCTCCTCTGGTCCTCCTCCAGTCCCTGCACTTTGTTTTCTAGCTCTGCCCCCAAAGGGGGTGCATGTAATGTTAGGGAGGGTGTGGGATTCTTGACATCTGATGTAATGGGGGGTTGGGTGCTATGGACATCTAGTCTTACAGATACAACTGGTCTTTTGAGGGCAACCATAATGCTGATACGGCCCATGATGAAATGGAGTTTGACACCCCTGTTCTAGCACATCCCATGGATGCACAATTGGATTGAGATCTTGAGAATTTGGAGGCCAAGTCAACACCTTGAACTTGATGTGTTCTTCAAACCATTATTGTAGTGTGGCAGGGCTCATTATCCTGCTGAATGAGGCCACTGCCATCAAGGAATAAGGTTTCCTTGAAAGGGTGTACTTGGCCAGCATCAATGTCTAGGTAGGTGGTATGTATGAAAGTATTATCCACATGAACAGCAGGACCATGATTTCCCAGCAGAACATTGCCCAAAGCATAACACTGCCTCCGCCAGCTTGCTTTCTTATCATACTGCATCCTGGTGATCTGTTCTCCAAGCCATTCACGTAATGTAAATGAAAACGTGATTCGTCAGACCAAGCCACCTTTTTTTACATTGCTCTGTGGTCCAGTTGTGATGCTTATGTGCCCATTGTACATATGGCTGTGAACACAGGTCAGCAAGGGCACCCTGACTGGTCTGTGGTTACGCAACAAACAGTGACGCTCATTTTTATTGTTTTCAACTTCAGGGGACAACATGTTTACTTGCTGCCTAGTATATCCAACCAACTTTCTGATGCCATTGTAACAAGTTAATAAATGCTGTTTGCTTAACCTGTGAATGGTCATAAAGTTATGGCTGATCCGTGTATGTTTTGGGGGCTTTGTAGGTTTAGTGTGGGAACTGCATGAGTTGCTAACTTGTCTGCTTTATCCTAAAGTTTTATCTCTGGTCATGGTCACTTTTGTATGAGTAATTGATAAAACTGTAAAATATTTTAAGAAGATTAGGTGGCTGGGTATATGAGCCTTTTTTTATTTTCTTCAAATAGTATTTAAGAAGGCATTCGTTTCCACTATTTTGATGTTAACATGATAATTTACTGATAGGTAGGTATCATATATATGAGGAGTCCACAGTATGTCAACACAAGTGCCAAATAAGCAAGAGCACTGATGAGGCTGCAAGCACATTTGTCACAATTGAAATAAAAGTAGCTCCCTTTTAGGGCTCATGTACACTGCAGCTGATAAACTCACATTTAGGAGCTGTTCAGCGTTTTTTCAGCAGCCCCTGAACTCACCCTAATGTTTTCCTATGTGTCTATGTACACATCGTTTACAGGCAGTTGAGTTTACAGTCATTTTTTTGAACGCAACAAACTTGCGCTCAGCCGTCGATGTTATCAGCATTTCAAATGCAAAACGTTTGTAAACGCGGAAAATCGTGTTTATAAGACTTTGCGTTTGAAAAATTTTTTTTAACTCTTCCAGTTCCCAATGCTGTCCAGAGCCTTTTTTCATCATAAAAAATGCATGCAAAGAGTTTTCATGGTGCTCAGATGGACTAAACCCTTGACACAGGATGTTCCTACCAAGCTTGTCACACATTGTAATGACCAATTCACACCTCAGACCTCTCCAAACCCTTTGGAAACAAAAGAGATGTTAATGCACATTCACTCCTCAGATTCCTCAGGAAGACCCCCTGCCAGGCGACCTTAATGACTCACTCCAGCAGACACCTTCCCACACTTGGAAACAAAAGAAATGTTAATGAGCAACTCACACCTAGCTAATGTCAACACATACTGCTGTCTCTGCTTCTACTGTGTGTATAATTTACCACTTTTCTGTGCATTCTGGGCATTTGGGAGGTTCTCCTGTGCTTCTCTTAAAAAAAAAAAAAAACGCTTCTAAACACAAACGTGCATTTTTTAACCTAAGTTTTCCAGCAGTCAGTTTCCATCGTTCAGAAACGTCCCGTGTAAATGGGGCCTTGAGAGTGTAAATGCATGTGAAATGCCACTCAATGGAAGAGGAACCTTCTCCTGAAGTCCGGGAGTGTCAATCTCCTGTGCACCCCTCTACTACCCCCCACCTCCTGTTATGATGTGGGGGAGGGGGACACAAGATCAGAAGTTCCTGATGTTTGGTTCCCGGCAGACTTTCAGGAGCTAATTTCTCCCGTCTTAGCAGCATTTTGCACCACGGACAGCAGGACAGCTATATATTTACATTTTTCTTTACATGACTCTCCTTTATTTCAATTGTGAGATCTGCAACAATTATTTTAAAGGGAATGTTAGAACATTTCAGATCTACCTGACTAAATACAAAATCAACTAACTGTCCTGAGAATGTTTCACCACTGGATGCCTTTCAGGATCATGGCTTCCCTGTACACAAACCTTTTTTCCCAAATCAGTCCGTAACCAGCCAGGTCTAGAAAAGCCTTTCTGTAGGCGTGTTTTATCTTCATATCTTCCTGCACTTAAAGTATCTGTTACCCATAAATGTTCTATATAAAGCTACCTAGATTTATGGCCCTTTTAAATGAAACCCGTTGGTATGATTATGCTACTAAGTAAAGGAAACCTTATATGTTTGTCTTGCACTAATGAGCTTTGATTTGACGGTTAATTGTGAGTGCTAGTGACCTATGTTTTATCCATGTTCATTTTAAAAACCCATCATTTTGGGTCAGGTTTGTTAAAAACTAAGCAAATTTAGCCATGTCAGCTGACTGCATCTCTGCATATATACGTATTGTACAAAGCAGAAAGAATGTCTACTCAGGAGCCATCCTCTATTCAGTCAGTGCGGGTTTTCCTTTGTAAATGCTAAAATGGTTGGAGCTTCATGGAATGCTGTTTAAAAATAAATATGCATTAACGATTGATAAAGTTAATGCATTTTTAAAGCATAAGTGTAATATAGCACATTGATTTTATGTCTTTTTTTTCCATCTGTGTATATATACATGAGAGTGAATGCAGTGTAATAGTTTCCCAGTTATTGGTCGGGTTCCAGGGGACCTAGTTTTACTAAATGGAGTGCATGAGGAAGGGCACAACCAGTGGTAGACGTTAATATGTATTGTGGTGTTTTGCTTTTTTTTTTTTTTTTTGCTTTTTTTTTGCTTTTTTTTTTTT